CCAACCCGCACGTGAAGCCGCCCTACTCGTATGCCACGCTCATCTGCATGGCCATGCAAGCCAGCAAGGCCACCAAGATCACCTTGTCGGCCATCTACAAGTGGATCACGGACAACTTCTGCTACTTCCGCCACGCTGATCCCACCTGGCAGGTAGGGGAGGTCCTCCCTCCCTCCCCGCGCCCCCGCAGACTGGACTCACATCCCAGATCCGCAGGGCAGGAAGGCGCGGTCAGCTAGGGCCCTGAGGGAGGAAGGCCGTCGAGGAAGGACCTCGAGGGAGCTCAGTGCTTGGAACTGACCCCACACACACACTTTGATTTCAGAGAGGGAGGAGGGAGGATGTTCACTAGACGTTGAGATTCAAGTGGAAAGAACTTGTTCACTCATCCAGCAGGCCCAGCCCAAAGACCGGGGCTGAACTATGCATGAACACAGTCCCCTGGGGAGGCCGATGGACTGAGGGACACATTTTTGTCCCAAGTCCTAGAATTCCTAGACAGTACCCTGCTCAAGGCCAGTTTGTCGGGGCTGGACTGGAAGCGGAAACAGGAGCATCATTCTTGCCAGGCTCTGCATCTTGCCTGGTTTCAGTTGGCTGGAGGGGACAGGAGGGCAGAGGGGTGTGCTGTGGGGTGTGAAGACCAGCTGTGTCCCAATGGAAGGGTGGTGGGGCCTTTCTAAAGCTGCTGCCCAGCCCCCCATCCCATCCCCTCCCCAGTTTCCTGCCTCCACTCCTCCCCCTCTCCCCAGTCAACCTCCCTCCGGGGACAATTAGCTGAGCCAGGTGCTTTCCACAGGGGCTCTGCCTCCCGCACTGGCTTCATGTTCCAAGTCTCTGGAACCTGGCACAGAGCAGCCAAGGGGCCCAGGCCATCATGTAAACATCTCAGCCCTGCCAGGGGGGACTACCCACCTGCCAGCCCCACCATCCGGGCCCCAGGCCCCTGTGCCCCAGTGTGGTTTGGACAAGACTAAGCACCTAGGAACAAATAAGGCAGGATGCTGATCTGAGGCTGGGCACACATTGTCCTGAGCATCTTCCACCATCAGGATCAGGGGCTACTTGGGGACTGAAGCCTTGAAGATGCACAAGCCACAGGATCACAGTTCCAAGCTATTCCACATTTGCTTGGGCCCTGACCCTGGGGCAGTACCGTTTGTAACCTTGGTGAGAAAGCGGAGACCCTCCCCACCCCCGCCCCTCACCCTACCCCCAAGCCTGAGAGGCCCCAGGAATGAGCGCTATGCTCTTGGCTGGGTAATAATCAACTGAGGCCTCATAGCCTGGGGTGGGAGGAGGGGGACGCGGAGTGGGGGTGAGGGCCCAGGCCAGCAGCCGACTCTACAAACAAGGAAAGTCATCAGATCCCTCCCCCAGCTTCACCCCCCACCAACACACACACCCTCACATCCACTCACTCACTTCACAAACAGAGAAGGCCAGCCAGGCCCAGGCAGAGGGAGATGGCCGTCCAGACCCTGGGGGAGCCGAGGCCTTTGGCCAGAGGCCTCAAGCAGTGGGGTGAGGGAGGGAGGGCAGGACAGGGTGGCACTGAGAGCCACCCTGCGGCTCAGGGCTCGGATGACTGAGCAGGCAGATATCCCAGCAACAGGGAACAAAAGCCCCCGACAGCAGTCCCGGCTCCGGTGCCCTGTGGCTGGTGTCCCAGAGTCTCCTGGTCAGAGCAGTGCCTCGGTCTCCCTCCCCCGTCTGAGAGAAGCTGGTGGGGGGACTGGCAGTAGCACTAGAGGCCCCCCGTCGCTGACCTGCCCCCTCACCCAGCTGTCCTCTTTCTCTCCTCTCTCCCTGTGTCCAGAATTCCATCCGCCACAACCTGTCCCTGAACAAGTGCTTCATCAAAGTGCCTCGGGAGAAGGACGAGCCGGGCAAGGGGGGCTTCTGGCGCATCGACCCCCAGTACGCTGAGCGGCTGCTGAGCGGGGCCTTCAAGAAGCGGCGGCTGCCCCCGGTCCACATCCA